GAGAGAGAGAGAGAGAGAGAGAGAGAAACATTGATCGGTTACCTCCCGTAAGCTCCCCAACCAGAGATCGAACCCACAACCTAGGTATGTGCCCTGACTGGGAATCGAACCCACAACCTTTCTGTGTATGACGCTCCAACTGATTCCCCCTGGCCAGGGCCCTCCAACTTCTTATTTAAAAAAAAAAAAAAAAGTTTTTCTTGATTTTAGAGACAGAGGAAGGGAGAGCGAGAGAGAAACATCAACATTGATCGGCTGCCTCCTGCACACCCCCTACTGGGGATCGAGCCCACACCCCCGGGACGTGCCCGGACTGGAAATTGAAGGGTGACAGCCTGGTTCACAGGTCGACACTCACCCACTGAGCCACGCCGGCCGGGCTGCTCAATCAGTTTCACTTGGATGAATGAGGAAGGTTGTATCCCCTGTGACCCAAGCCCACTNAGTTTCACTTGGATGAATGAGGAAGGTTGTGACCCAAGCCCACCGGACAGAGGGGGGGTGAAGGGGGCACCTTGCCTTCCCCGTCCTCCTTCTGTCCTTCCAGCCAATGCTGATTGCTCCTCACTGGGTGCCAGGGTGGGGGCAGAGCACTGAGCAAGACGCTTGGTCCTGCCTTCACAGAGTTTGGGGGGGGAGGTCATAAAGAACACCCGAGGGCGGGGGGCCGGGGAGCCTGAGGTCCTTCCTGCCTGCAGTTCCAGCAGGATGGGTTCCTGGTGCTGGAAGGCTTCCTGTCTGCGGACGAGTGTGTGGCCATGCAGCAGAGGATTGGTGACATAGTGGCCCAGATGGATGTCCCTCTGCACTGCCGCACAGAATTTTCCACCCAGGGAGAGGAGCAGCTGCGAGCCCAGGTGGGTGCCTGGGGCAGGTGAGGATGCAACCTGGTCTTTGATGGGGGGAGGGGGGCTCAGTCCCGGGCCAGAGCAGCAGCCTGGAGGCCCAGGGCTCATTCGGGTGACAAGCCGGGCCCCGGCCTTCCCTGTGCCAGGCTCCAGGTCCAGTGCCTTACATGCGGACGCATTGTCCCCGTTTCTCAGGCAGGGAAAATGAAGCTCGGCTCACTTGCCCCAAAACACAGGGTTAGTAAGTGATAGAGTGAGGATTTGAACCCAGATCCATCCGATGCCGCGCCCAGCTGCACTTCCTCTGCAGTTCTCCCGTCTCAGGTCACAGAGGGCCCCCTGGTGGCCGGTGAGCCAAGCGGTGCCGATGGACCCACCTGTGTGGGGCTTGTCCCCCAGGGAGACTAGGACCTCTGCTCCTTCCCCTCCAGTGACCCAACACGACTCAGTGCAGTTGGAAATGGGGACGCTGAGGCTTGGGGATCCTCCCACACCCCTCTCTACCCAGCCCCCAAGCTAAGGCTGCCCGTGGTCCAGGCCCGCAACGGGCACCACTCACACCGAGGAGCTCCTGCCATCTGATGGGCATCAAGGGAATCACAGTGACCGAAGCCGGGTAACCCGCAGGACAGGGACGTGAGGAGGGAAAGGGGCACAGAATGATAATTTCCTCCCAATAGTCTCATTCGTCAGCCTCCAGCCTTCCGGGTGGGGAAAGCAGGGACGGGGTCCTGTGTCCAGCGTCACTCAGAGGCTCCCAGGAGTGAGGGGGCTCTATTCTGTGCCCTCCAAGCTGCCTTCCGAGAAGGCTCCCGGGCCCAGCGAGCCGGTGGGGGGCGACGGGAGACGCAGGTGTGTGTCCTGGTTTACAATGCGCCGTGCCCAGCACGGGGCCTGGCGCTCAGCAAACCCGCGGTACTCACTGCTGATCTTGGGAACGACTTTGAAATTAAAAAAACATGAGCCTGGCCGGCGTGGCTCAGAGGTTGAGCATCCATCTAGGATCCAGGAGACTGAGGTTCAATTCCCGGTTGGGGCACGTGCCTGGGTTGCGGGCTCGATCCCCAGTCGGGGGCGTGCAGGAGGCAGCCGATCAAGGACTCTCTCATCATTGATGTTTCTCTCTCTCTCTCTCTCTCTCCCTTCCTCTCTCTGAAATCAATAAAGATATATTTTAAAAAATAAAAATAAAATGAACAAGGAGAGGTTATTAAGAAAACACAAAAAGGTTAGTAATAGCTTATATTTATCATTTGACTTAAGAGGCTTCCGAGAAATCCCACGCTTGTAGCTTCTGGCTGTGCTTCCAGGAACGTGGGGTTCCTGTTCATTTCTGCCTCACTGGGCAGGTTTGAGAAGCACTGGTGGGGTCTGTAGCCCCGTGTCGGCGGGGGGGGGCAGGAAGCATCTGAGTCCCCTTCCCTCCTCCCCAGGCCTGGCTCTAACCCTGCCATGCTCTCTCGGTCCCTCTGATGTCCCCCCTCCGCAGGGCAGCACAGACTATTTCTTGAGCAGCGGGGACAAGATTCGGTTCTTCTTTGAGAAAGGTGTTTTTGACAAGAAAGGTTTGGAGCTGGGGCCCTAGAGGCAGGGGCACACTGGACTCGGGTGGGTATCTGCCCCCCGGGCGGGGTGGGGGGTAGCTACCTAGGGGAGGCTGGACTCCAGCTCTTCAGCCTTTACTTGTGTCTTGTGCCACAGGAAATTTCCTGGTCCCCCCAGAGAAATCCATCAACAAAATTGGCCACGGTAAGCAGGCACCTCTGGGAAAGGACCTGGGTAAACTGACGCCCGAAAGTTCAGGGGCATTACCCAAAGCGCGCAGAGTTAGTGGCCCAGCAAATGGCATTTCTGACAGCAGTGCCCCCTCCGGCCCTGCTCCTCTGCAGCTTGTGATGCTAATCACATGACACTGGGAAGAGGGGTCCACAGAGCCCCCCCCCACAGACCCCTCAGCTCCCCTGGCCTGGGGATGATCCAGGCCCTGGGCATGGGGGGCTCCTGGGTCCCTCTGCTTCCTGGAACCCCCTTAAGGAGCACCTAATGTGTGACATGGCGCCTGTTCTGAGACCCCAAACCAAGCTGGGAAACTCTTTTTTCAGGATGCTTCATTGTAATCTATTTTGTAGACTTACTTTTTCTTATTATTATTTTTTAAATATGTCTTTATTGATTTCAGAGAGAGGAAGGGAAAGGGAGAGAGAGAAACATCGATGATGAGAGTCATTAATCAGCTGCCTCCTGCACGCCCCCTACTAGGGATTGAGCCTGCAGCCCGGGCATGTGCCCTGACCGGGAATCGAACCCCGATCTCCTGGATCCTAGGTCGATGCCTCAACTGCTGAGCCATGCCCGGCCGGGCAACACATAACATTTCAAACCCCCCCTTTTTTGTAGTAACAACATAGCAAATAGGGAGAGGAGCCACTATTCAGTGTGGGCCCTGGGCTGTGGCTGCAGGAGTTAGCCCTGTGAGTCCCAGGCTGCCTGGGAGGCCAGCAGGTCTTCTAGTCCCATTGTGCAGAGGGGGACACTGAGGCTTGCAGGAGAGGAGCCACACAGAGTAAGTGGTGTGCTGAGATTACCGCCACGTGATGGGCCTCTTGGAGCCCTTTGTGTGGGCCACTTGTCCGCTGGCCCTTGGAGCCCTCTGTCCTCTGAGGAGCGGGGAGTCAGGGCTGGAGTGATTCTCAGTTGGCTAGAAGGTCAAGAATAAGTTCGTGGGTGGGATGGGGCCTAGGGTGGGTTGATGCTGCCGGTGGGGCCCATTCCTTGGTTACAAACAAGCAGAAGGCACACAGAATCGGTGAGAGCGAGGCCTGAGTCTCAATGCCCAGGGCTAGATGTGGCAGGGACATGTGCGGGCTGGGGACTGGCCCACAGCCCACCTCTGTCCTGCAGCTCTGCACGCCCATGACCCTGTCTTCAAGTGTGTCACACACTCCCCCAAGATGCAGGTGAGCAGGAGTGTTGGGCGGGGTGGGTGGCTGGGCCAGAAGTGAGTGTGGCTAGGCTGTCATTGTGACCCCTGCCCCCTTCCAGGCCTTGGCCAGAAGTCTGGACCTCCAGATGCCTGTGGTGGTGCAGAGCATGTACATCTTTAAGGTGAGCTCCCTCGCCTCCCCAGGCCTCAGTTTACCCTCTATAAAATGGGCAGAGTGCTCAGACCAAGCCCCTCCTTACCATGGGCCAAAAACTGCTTCCCAAAAGTTGTTAAGTTGGAGGAAGAACACATAAAATCAGGCTTCTCTGGCTAAGGCACCTGGCACTTAATAAGTGCTGTTAAAATGTAGTGGTAGGAGGGAAGGGGATCCCCAGGGTTACCTCCTCCCTTGCTTGGCTATTGAAATGCTCTTCTCCTAGCTTTCAAGACCCCCCTCAGTACCACCTCCTCCAGGAAGCCTTCCAGCTCCCTTGGGAAGGAAGGGACTGGCCAGGGCCTCAGCTTCTACTGCTCCCCTCACTTCTGCCTTGTGTGTTGTTGGGCATGTGCATAGTCAGACTGGGAGTGTCAGAGAGGGTGGTTCCTCTCTTTGCAGCCCTCCTGGGCCTGGCACATAGTAGGTGCTCAACAGATGGGTGCTGATGGGAAATCCTTGGAGGTAAACACCTGTGGCGAGGGAAGAGCTTCCCACAGGACTCAGCAGCCCCTTCCCGCTCCTGCCCTCCTCTGGTCTCACCTGGCCCTTCCCCTCTCTTGCAGCAACCTCACCTTGGTGGCGAAGGTGAGCCCAGCGGACTGTAGGCCCAGCAAAGGCCTTAGTGGGAGATCTGGGACGTTGGTGGTGGTTGGGTCTTCAGAGGGAGGGAAGGCACTTGCCTTGCACGATGTCCTAGGCCAGGGAAGAGAAGCACCTTCCTTCCTTCCCTGAACAGTGGATTGGGAGGGCGTCCTGGAGCCCTTGGCACAGTGCTTCCTGAACCTGGATGCAGCTCCTAGCTGGTTAAAAATACAGATTCCTGGACCCCTCCCTGAGATCATGGGTCGGTAGCACTGCCAGGGCCTGGGAATCCTATATTTTTTTAAAAATATGTTGTTTTTTAAAAAAAATTATTTATTTTAATATGTTTTTATTGATGTCAGAGAGAGGAAGGGAGAGGGAGAGAGAGAAACATCAATGACGGGAGAGTCGTTGACCCGCTGCCTCCTACACGCCCCCTCCTGGGGATCAAGCCCGTAACCCGGGCCTGTGCCCTGACCGGGAATCGAACCGTGATGTCCTGGATCCTAGGTCGATGCTCAACTGCTGAGCCACACAGGTGGGCAATAGCGGCTATTTTTTGTTTTATTTTTTCCATCACCATTTATCCCCTCTGCCCTCTCTCACCTCCAATCAGCATCTACTTTTTAGTGAGCAATTGCAATGTCGGTCCCGCGCCGACACTTCTCACACATCATGGGACATTCCAGCAATCCCGTGAGGCAGGTTAGTGTTGGGGCCACTTTACAGCTTAGGAAATTGAAGCTTCGAGAGGTGACATCTCTTGCTCCGGGTCTCCAGGCCAGGAAGCAGTGAAATTCTAGCTGGTCACGGGAAGGCTGGGCCTGGAGGGCTCTGGGAGGACTGGGGGTGGGAAGCAAGGCCGGGGTGAAGCGGCTCCTCATGCCCAGGGGCCTGCTGCAGTCTCCCCTCACCAGGACGCCTCCTTCCTGCACACGGAGCCCCTGGGCCGGGTGCTGGGCGTGTGGATCGCGCTGGAGGATGCCACAGTGGAGAACAGCTGCCTCTGGTTCATCCCTGGCTCCCACACCAGTGAGGACCCGTCTCCCTGCCCACCGTCCCCCACCTGCCACGGGAGAGGGACCTGCGAAAAGGAGCCCTAAAGGCCCCATCTTGGTCTGCAGGGGGAGTGTCCAGAAGGATGGTCCGGGCCCCTGCAGGCTCGGTGCCTGCAACCAGCTTTCTGGGGTCAGACCCCACCTGGGATAACAGCCTCTTTGTGCCCACGCCAGTGCAGCAAGGTAGGCGGGTGCAGAGCACAGGCGGGGGGCCCTGTGGCCATGCCCTGGGTGTCTGCCTGCTCTGAGCACCCAGCTCACTGAGCGCTGTGAAGTCACAGAACGAGAGGTCACTGGACACTGGGAAACCGGGCAGCAGTGGGGTTAACAGCAAGGCCTCCCGACCAGGCTCCACTCCAGACTCTGCTGCTTCTGGGCTCTTTGGGCAAATGACTGAATTTCTCTCTCAGTTTCTCCAGACGGAAAGTGGGGAAGTTGGTGAGGTGTATCTAAGATGTTTACACAGAACCTGTGTGGCACAGCAAGTGCTCCCAGATGCCAGCTCAGCATTCACTGGCAAGACCTCAGCTGCCCAGCCCAGCTTCTCCCTGGTTCTGCACACACCACAGGAGGGGGTGCCCCAGCAGAAGGGATAGGATCCTGGGAAACCCACATCTCACAGCCTGGCCTCAGATCCCAGGGCAGGCTGCAGGCCCCTGAGCTTTCAGGGATGAGAGTGGGATGGGAGGGGGGTGAAGAGGCCACAAAACTACTTGGGTCTTAGGGGGCCCCGGGTCCCTTCCTGACCTGCTGTGTCCCTGCCAGGGGGCCTTGTCCTAATCCACGGAGAGGTGGTGCACAAGAGCGAGCAAAACCTCTCCGGCCGCTCGCGCCAGGCCTACGCTTTCCACCTCATGGAGGCCTCTGGCACCGTCTGGAGCCCAGAGAACTGGTAGGTGGCAGGGAGGGTGTGTCCTAGTCTCCTAAAGGGGTCCTGGAGGCTGGGGGGAGCAGTGATACTGACATCTCGAGGTCATCTCCTCTGTCCTCTGCAGGCTCCAGCCAACAGCTGAGCTGCCCTTTCCCCCACTGTACACCTAGAGGCTCCTGCAGGGCTGAGCACAGTCTGCTCCCAGGAAGCTGTGGGCTGCAGACACCAGCACCTGCAATGGGGAAGTCACACCTCTCCTCCTGAGCTTTCCTTCTTCCAGTGTCTGTGCCCTTTGGTCCTGCAGAAGGGCCGGCAAGAGGTGGCAGCCAGGCAGGAGCCCTCCCCCACTCCCCAACACAACCTTCCCCTAGAGGCAGCCTCTCAGCTACAAACAGGGTCTGGCCACTTCTCGGCCAGCTTCTTACTTTCCTCTCTCAGAGAGAACTCTGTTACGGTGCAAGACATTGAATAAAAATGACTTCCGAACGCAGCCTTTCAATCCTTCTTTCCCAAGCAGACTTGTCAAAATGAGGGCCCTGCTGAAAATCATCCCAGGTACCCCAGCCCTGCCTGGTGAGGTTTGTGACTTTCCTAGCAGCAGGTCACATCTGGTGGGCACTCACTCACTGTGCCAAGAGCTGCACATGTTGTTTCTCACTGAGTCCTTACACCGATGGACCTCTGAGGTAGGTGCTCTTACCATCCATCCACGTTTACAGGTTAGGTGACCTGTGCAAGTCACACAGCTGCTTGGAGAGCTCAGCCTTATCCAGAGCCTGTGCTTCTAACCTCTTGGAGGGGAAAATGAGACCAGGGCTGAGAATGCAGTTCCAGATTCTGGGCCAGGCCCTTCCTCTCTGAGCCTGACGAAGGCCTCTGTGCATCCCTCCTGCGTGGGATGGCTTGGCAGGCACCCAGGCCTTTTCCAGGAACAAATTCCAAATCCAGAACCTGTTTAGCCGAGGTCTGACCCAGAGGTTGCACATCAGGGGCTACTAACTGATTCCAGACCACAGATGTGTTTTGTCTGGGCCTTGACGTTTTTACAAAAACTTTTTAAAATTGGGCAATTTCATATCACAGTAAGATTTCTGAGCTTCCTTGAAAGAACGGGCCAAAGCGCTGGGCCTGTGGTTGAGCATGCTGGTGACTGGCTGGAGCTGCCTCCTTAGAGGAGCCTGTGCTCTCTGCATCTCGCTTCCCTTGTCTTTCTTCACTGCACAACCTGCCTGGCCTCAGAAGCAGTTACTTTGATTTCCAGCCTCCCTGTATGTGTGGACAACAGAGGACAGGGCCTTTTCCCAAGGCCACAGGGCGCTGAAGCAAAGCTGCTGCTCTTCCCTGACATTTGCCACGAGTCAGGGAGAAGGGAAGGGTTTGTCAAGTTTCCTATGAGCCCCAAAGGAATGTCTCAACACTTTTCTGAGGGAAAGGACAAGGCAGTAATTCCATGAACTCCCCAGAGCTCCACTCCTGGCTTTTGGCCTTAGTGGGCCCAAGTTCTCGCCTCTTCCTGCTAGGCTCCTCCCTGCTGGGTGGGTGAGGAGTGGGGAGAAACCTGCCCCTCCCCCCCAGCCCTTCCTCACATTCGACAAGTCAACTCCATGCCTCCCCTTCTGCTCTTCCTAGCCCAGACGGGAGACACCACATGCATTTGGCTATTTTCTCTCGGGTTCTTCTCCAAGTAAAGCCAAGGTCACTCTGGTCTCCCAGTACAACCCACGAAAGTATAACCACTGACTTGCTGAGAGGCCCGGCCTTGGGTAATAACACTTTCCCTTGCTGATTGCTCATGATGTGTGGGCCCTGGGCTGGATATTGTACACACCTCACCCCACCAGATCCTCACAACACCCAGTGAGGCGCACGCTCTTATTTCTTCCATCTTGCGGACAGGAGAATCAAGGCACGGAGTGGTTAGGCCACTCGTGCAGTTAAGAAGTGGTACAGCCAAGGACGGACCCATTCTGTGTGCACAGAACCTGACATGCTAACCATTGCGCAACACGGCCTCCAGCTCCGCTCCAGCCCACTGAGGACTGCAGGGTGAGAGGGCCCACAGCACACTCAAGTCCTTTGAGTTGTTGCAACATCCTTGAAGCCTTTTGCTTTTCAACATCAACAAAAGCCAGGAGAGCTTTAATTTTTATTTGGAATCTGCCCTCAACTGAAAAATCAAACCTGCTTCCCATCCTCTGCCTCTTTGTGCCCAAGTGGCTGCCTGCTGGGGGGTCACTCGTCTTCCCCATGTCCCTGTTTCCTCCATCGCTGCTGCACAGCAGCTAGGCCATCAGCAAGATCAGGAGGTAGAGAGGCAAAAGGAGATTGTCTATCTGTGTAGTGTAAGCTTCTAAGAGGGACACTATGCTGATGGACCCCAAAATCCAAGCATAACTGTGGTTTAGGTCCACTTCACTGTCGAAGATTAAGATCAAAGCCACAGAAATGATCTGGGCAAATATAGATGTCATGGTCCCCTCAAAAGTCTTTTTGGTTCCAGGCCAGCGGATTTCCCCCATGGTGCTGCCAAAGATGGAGGCCATAGTGTCACCCACCCCCACGGCCAGGACGCCAGCATAGGGGACTAGGGCCCTTGCTCCTCCCAGGCTACCCTTCTGTGTGCAGGGCCTGGGGACTAGCCAAATGGGAAGAGACATGCCCAGAAGCAGGTAGATGTGCGTCAGGATGAGCGGTCCGCTGTCTCGTTCGTCTAGGAAGAGGGACAGGAGGCTCCGCAGAGTGTGGCCCAAGGGCTTAATGCGGAAATAGCGCACATACTCTAGGAAGATGAAGACTGCAAGACATACAGTGGCGGCCACGTAAAGCAGTGGTCGGTCAAAGATGATACCTGGGACGTAGGTGGCTACCACGATGAAGTGGAAATACTTCCGGGTGATGGTGGGGGCCTGGTGCTTCTTGGATTCAGAAGATGACCGCTTGGCATTCTGGTACAGCACCACCAGGCAGGCAAAGGTGGCCAGCAGAGACCAGTAGGCTAGGAGGTAGATGCGGGTTTCCGTCTGGAAGAGGAACTGAAGAAGCCAGAGCAGGGGGTTCCTGCGGATGAGCCGGTGCAGCCAGGGCAGGACCACCCCGAGGCCCAGCACACAGGTCATGAGGTGGAAGAAGATGGAGGAGGCCCAGGTAGCTGAGTCCATGAAGACAAAGAGGGTGCTGAAGAAGACACCCATGAGTACCATCCCGATCACCACCACCAGCAGCAGGAAGTCCACCGGGTCGCCCTGGCCTTCTACCACAGTGAGCGAACGCTTGATGAGCTGGTTGAGCACGAAGCTGATGCCCCCCAACACCAGCAGCGCCTCCCCGGGGGTGAAGCAGCGGGGAAGCAGGTACAGCAGGATCATGTTGAGGTAGACGAAGATCAGCAGGACCTCCAGGACCTCGATGACCTCGCCCACGCTCAGGGAGTGCCTCATGATGTACGTGATGACACACCCGGCCAAGCCCGAGATGACACAGGTGTTGGTGGGCACTGGGCGCGTGATGCCCAGCGCCAGCACCGACGAGAAGAGGGCCACCGCCATGCCCGTGGCTGCCACCACAATGCCAAAGCGCTCGAAGTGCGGGTTCCCCGCGGCCAGGCAGCGCTCCTTCATGACCACCCCGAGCAACGGCATGACCATCGAGGAGGGCAGGAGGCCGCTGTTGGCCGACGTTCGGAACTGGAAGACGGCGCTGCCCTGCTGGAGCAGCCGGTCCCACTTGTACTGCACGTAGAAGGCCTGCACGGCCAGGGCCACCGCGCACCACGAGTACCGGTCCAACACGGCCGCGTGGATGCTCAGCACCACCGCGAACACCACCGCCGCCTCCGCC